CACGTGAGTAACCTTAAAGGAACTTCTGACGCTCCTACTTATAACAATGCCTTTTAGCCCAATATTGTTCAATACGTCGACCATCACGAGCACGACAGGTGGATATACATCATCATGGAGTACGTTCCCGGTGGAGAGCTGTCCACATATTTGCAGTCGCATGGCAGGATCGCAGAGGCCCAGGTTAGGACTATGGCGCGACAGATTTTGCATGCACTCCACTATCTACATAAACGGAAGATCACGCATCGAGATATCAAGCCAGACAATATCTTGATTTCGTCTCTTGATCCCCTCCGAGTGAAATTGTCAGACTTTGGTCTTTCAAAAGTAGTTCAGGAAGAGACCTTTTTGAGGACCTTCTGTGGAACATTGCTGTACTGTGCCCCGGAAGTCTACCCCGAGTATGATACTTACCGACGTGGTGAGGTTCGGAAACGGCGCAGGCTGGGTGATCCGTAAGTTCCTAATAACATGTGCTCTGCCGAAACTATACTGACCATCAGGCCTCCAAAAACATCCCCTTACAATCAATCCGTTGACATGTGGTCGCTTGGAGCCGTTCTCTTTCACCTTCTTTCGGGTGTCCCTCCTTTCGCTCCTCGAGGAGATGATCGTGGTGCTCAGATGCTGCGAATCATCATGACTGAGGATGCCAATTATACTGAACTCCGCAAGGCAGGCGTCTCAGAGGATGGAATAGATTTTGTCGCTCGACTTCTAAATCGTGACCCCCAGTCTCGCCCCAACGAACGAGAATGTTTTAGGCATCCGTGGATTGCAGGAGTTGCGGACATTGACGATTATGATGACGAGGATTTGTTTCTGGGTGTTCCGGATGAGCTTTCTGACATAGGCGAGGATCTTGAGGACGAAATAGACGCATCTCAGCTGTCTTTGAATGATAAGCCGGCAGCAGAAGTCGCTGCTGAGGAGGAGGACGAATTGGCCCAGGCTAAGAAAATCAAGCTTGAATATCCGCCGGAGGAAATCCGCTACCCATCGCTGCCCAGTTTTGACAGTTTCTCGGCTCTTCAACCAGTTTCCCAGTCAACTCCAAAACGACTTTTCGGTGAGATTACGCCATCGATACTTCGAAGTTCTCACGCGTTGGGCGACAAGGTTGATGCATTTGAGGGCGACGACTTTGGCCTCCATGACTTCGTTTCTTCCACTGGTGAGTCGATTATCAGCGACGGCAACAGCCTGAACTCCATCCTCTCCCTGCCGGAAAACCCCGTCGCGGGGTCTGCACCTAGCTTAATGGGAGCTGAGAACCTTGTTGGGCAGCTGAACATGAACTCGTCGCACCCTGGCTTGAACAACATTCCCCGTCACGTCGAGGTGCCGGGGCCGCAAACTAGCGTGGCCGCAGAAGTCCTGAAGGACAAGGCCCCAGAGGCGCCCCCGCAGACCACTATCGATGATGAAACCCCTAAGGCTTCGAAATTCAACCGGCGGATTGAACTCCCTATACCTGATACTGCCAGTGAGCGTTCTAGTCCCGAAACGACAACGAGAAAGACCAACGATGGGCATGCTGAGCCCGACGCTGCTCCTGAAGAAGTGTTCGACATTGAGTTGGCGAATACTATCGATGCCAAAACCGGACAGCGACTTCCTGACTTGCCGAAAAGGGAAGACAATGAGCCTTCCCTACAGCCTGCCTCCGATCAGACTCCATGCCCTATCCTCAATACTGTGACGCATCTTATCAAATCACGCCCACTCCTTGGAAAGCTGACCACTCTCCCCGGGTCCATCTTTGAGCTCACTATTCCGCTGGAAGCTCGGATGACATCCTGGGGCCGCGGACCCCAAGCAACCGTATGCTATCCCGAGCCAATGGATACACGGATACCTGCGTATGCATTGGAAGTTACCTTCTGGGCCCCAGCCATTGAAACCAAGATTGCCGCTGGACACGATTGGATGACGGTCCCCGGCGTGATGGCTATCCTCTCGACCAAAACCCGAAAGTGTATCTGGGTCAATGGAACTGAGCTACGGCGTGGGCCCGAGAACGACAATGGCGGAGAAGGCTTCCATTTCGGCAAACTTTATACCGGCGATGTCATTACCGTCTATCAGCATCGGAACAAGTTTTTGAAGTTCGCGTGCGAATTTTACCATGGAGATAGTGCTCGCTCACGTCCCGATGAGGAGAAAGGCTTCACCGTGCGCAAAGTCTTGATGCCCAAGGAGAAGGCTGCCAACCGACAACCTGCGCGGAAAATACCGCATGGGAAGAAGTAGGTGTCAACATGGTGGCACTTGGTTCGCTGACTGAGTTGGAAATGGCCATGAGGTATGGTGTAATGTCCCTGGTGTGGTTTGGAGTTGTATGTATCGCTTATGTATGGGTTGCATCTTCCTTTGGTCTTGGGGGAACAAATGGGGTGGCTCAGTATTGATTTTGGCGTTTGTGCATATACATAATGATCTGGATAAGATAGGGTCTGAAGGGGGACAAAAAAGGGAAAAAAGACTACTCTCATCAACGCATGTACGATCATCAATTGCATAGATATTTATCAATGGAGACCACTATCTATGACCCGCTCACCTAGGCTACGTCTGAGACGGTCCACTATAGAATACTTGAACGTAGTGCCATGGTCCTACACAGTGGTTATTATCTCCTTGCTCAGGGACAAGTAGTAAGTAAAAAGCTGCTGCTACTTTGCTAGAATTAGATAGCACCCGCGTGCTCTGATATTTAGGAAGAGCAATTGTATTTGAGACAGGACTTTGCTAAATACATTCATACTCTGTCAGGCTAAAATATTCTTTATTCTAGTCAGTCTGTACTTTATTCCTAGGAGGCACCATGGCGAAATACAATCGGCCCTTCCATCTCATCCTTCTGTCCCCAGGCGTAGGCCACTGCGTATCATATTCTTTGGACAACCGCCAGGAACAGCACTCCCAGGAGGGTCGCATGAGTTATGCATGCCCTCGAAGTAACAGACACTTGATATGTGATATAGAAGAGATAAGTTAAGCCGAGTCTCCCAGGGATGGTAAAGTAAAGAGCGAGAGACGTGAAAAGACACACCATCTCCTTGACAATAACAGTAGTTGCCGATATTGTGTTGAGGATCTGCGCTACAACAAACTTAGGATGCACTTCGAAGTGATCAAAGAAGATGTCTGGAATGAAGACAGAAAGAGGGCCTACTGGTTATAGCAAGGTCCAATACCGGTAGCTCCGGCAGCTCCCATGAACAGAAGGGCAACGATAGTGTTCGTCCAGAGTCTCATGTTGCGTTTTGTTTTGGTGGATTCGATTCGTATGCGAGGGAGCACGCTGAATGAGGGTAACCTGAGAGAGAAAAAAAAAAGTCTTGATCAGATGTACTGTTCTTATTCTTGTTGAACCCTAGCCTGAACCTATCCAATGCCACTTTGACTGCAGTAACATGTACCAGGTTTATTAGTTGTTTAGGACCTATGAGTTACTATATCGGCGCTACAATCACGTACATGAGTGTACGCTCAGGTCACCCGAGTCAAACTTTCTGTATAGTTATTAGGTGAGACAAGTATGTACTAGTCATACACTACATGGATAATTGCTTCTATCCTCAAGGTTTGATCCTGATCATGGCCTGGAATTACAGACCTGTTCATTTTGCTTATCGGGTAAAGCTTGAACCAACAAATGCGACGCTAACTGCAGTAACGAGTGCGGACATTGTGCTACCTTGTGGCACTATGATAGTGCTTTACATGCAGGCATTTTTCCAGAAGTCCTGTGACCCCACTAGCCGCCTTGGGTAGGTCGATGCTTGCCCTGTGGTGGCTGAGGGATGTGAAAGTGGAAAGATGATCATACAGTCAATTCAATTCTTTGAGAATAGTTTCATAGTATAGAGGCCAAGTCTGCTTGTTGTGTATGGGTTGTAGCTATTAGAGGGGACGAGTCCAGGCGACAAGTAACTATGAACGAAGGCCCCAAGTGACGATGTATGTCTGTCCTTCCTATCCGTTTGAAGTGGCGCCTGGTACTGTTCCAGGAGTAGGGGGAGTAAATAGACTGGAGCATATGGCTCTGGGTGATTCACCGTATACTAACCCCACCTATTTTCTTCCTGTCTGACACCAGATAATTGCTTCCTGTGAGACAGTCCCGCCCTGGTTGCACTCTAGTGACACGACATGGCCACATTGAAATGACTATCAACAAACTAATTCTGAAGCAATCACTTCTGTCACCAAAAGATCGAAAGGTTTTATTCTCCTTCATCCAGTCTACACAGCTCTATAAAAAATGGAAACCATCTTACGTGTCCGTATTTCTATCAGCCACGGTCATCGCATCCGGCAAGACCAGCAGTAGAAGCGCCGCAGGATTGTGTCTCTTCAGAAGCAGATGTTGCAGAGTCTAATGCTGTTCAACCTTCGTATCGATGAGAGCGATGCCAAAATTCCGACTTACCAGTTCGGTGTTAAGTTGCAACCGAAGCGGTTACCGTAAAAGCGTTCTAACTCGCAATACGGTGATTAGTTTTGCTCTTCTACTCTTCAGGATTGCTTCTTGTGTGTAAATGGAGTATTACGCCGTACCAGCTGCTATCCACACCGGGTATGTATATTCTATGCTTGAGACTTTTCTTTTTCTATGACTCTTTGATGGAAATTGACTTTTGCTATCACTAGTGCACACATACGAATAATGCTTGCAGCCACTCACTCCTCACTGCCGTTACTGTCTGTTCCTAGATTTGGGCAAGAAATAGTCATCTACTGTAGGGCTTGACAGAGCAATATGATGTAGCTAAGGCGCATCAATCAGAGTACTCGGTATTACACCATATAATCCTCTTGATATAGCTTGCCAAAGTCAAGTGGTCATACCGCGTATGGTATAAATACTACCAGTAAATTACTGTAAGCGTTGCTGCTAAATAGTGCAAGGGTAAGTGCAAGGATATCTCAGCGGATAATAAGCAACGCTACCACCTCCTTTCTCATTATACATCGTCTTGATCATCACTCATTATTTCACCAACCTGTCCAACTTGAATCCTAATTCAGTTCAATCTCTACAGTTTACAAAGCGGCCAAACCATGTCAGACACCAATGAAAACACTCCCATGCCTGGTGATAGCCTCCCAAACACAAGCCAACTTCCTCCCCCCATCGCCCGCAACACAATATCGAATGCAAATGAGCCTCACTTGGTCGACCCGTCGAACCAGACCACCTACGAGAAGAGACTCTATATGAATTCTTGTGCTCCCAAGGATGGGCTCATACACAGTGTTCTTGTTTCATCACTCAGATCGAGCCGATGAAAGAAGCCATCTCACGCGTTTTCTACTCGCAAGGTTTGTAACACCGTCCAAGTACAGTGTCTCCACGAGCAGTGTGAGATGGAATTTTCAGAGCATTTCCCAGCTCCTGGAAGTGATACCGAGCAACCAGATCTGCAGATGCAGCTGAGACTCAATGAGGGTCGAAGGGCGATTGGCGAGCGCATTTACCTTTCCATAGACACCATGGGCAGGGGTGTTGATGAGGAGAAAACCACTTGAGTGGACGGTCAAATGCTCTAAGAAGAGAAGGCCCAGCAGGAATATGTGTGGGCTGAGAACAAGAACAAGGTTGAATAGATATATCCGAAATCTTGCGAAGGCACAATGGATCTGTCGAGTTCGAATTACTATGACGAGAATCCACCGGAAAGGATGGAAAATTCTTAGATAGCGTGACTTATCTATTACTTATTTTGCCTAACCCGGTTAAGGTTGACTAAAGCGTCTTTTAAAGTAATATTAGATGTTAATTATCTCGTCCAAGTTGCTAGTTGCTGAGCATAGTACTCTAACATATGTTCATTGTCTTTGAGAGTAAGACCGCATCACTGCATCATGTAATCGGGACGTCTTCCTTCTTTGACAAAGTCCGTAAGATTAGTGTTTTATCGACTAGTCTTAGTGGTCTCTCTACCAGGACAGCCACTGTTGTTGGTTGACTGGAAGTCTGTTTGAAGAACAACACGTCATCAGATGAGGTTACTTCGCAACGAAGAATGAATGACTTTTGACACTCAGAAACCATAAGGTCATTTGTTATGCTAAACAATCTGAACATAGATAGAATAACTCCTATTTAAAATCAACCATTATTTGCCAAGTACAGCTGGTTTAAAAGTAGACGAAAATCAAGCTTCTGTGTAAAGAGCACCCATTCATAATAAAACCTCAAGAATAGTCATTTTCAGTGTCCTTGTCAAACAGCAGCGCGGTGGGCAATATGCTGCAAAATGTTTTTAAAGCTGAAGGTTAGGAAACGTGACTTGAGTGCCTAGTTGCTTGTAGATGAGTGAAGCCCACTATATGCGATGCTGGTGCATGGATACAAGGGTTTGCGTCAGTGGCTGCAAATTGACAGCCAAAAACAGCAGGCCTTTAAAGTTCTCAGATTACATTTGTTTATAAACTGTAGCTCGTATAATATCTAGGAACTACCTGCGAAGAGACTAGCAGCGACCCTCAGGGTCTGGAATCAACTGGATCCGTGAAGCCTGTACACCTCTCGGCAACGATACGAAGGCCAGTTCCCTGGTTCGCTAAAGTGGTATGTATCTATTCACATTGAATAAGCGACGCCGGAAGCAGCCAGGTCCAGCAGGTTTAAGAAACACATTATTTGGATATTGTCAAAGATCACGAACCATGAGGTTTCCCAATGCGTCGAAAAGCCACGATGGAAGCCAAAGCAACACCAGCACCACATGTAACCCTGACCGCTAAAGTTTGAAAGACCGAGTGGGTCTCTACTCTTTTTCCATGTGGATCTTGGAGATTAGTTTCTTCCTGCTAGTTCTGGTCTCTCGGATTTCTAGCAGTTCTTCCATCTTCTCCGAACTAGAACATAGCTTGAATGTGTTCCACCGCGAGATGTTTCTATTGTCGCATTAGGGGGTTTGACGGATGTGAGACAACCGTCTCTCGAGCCAGGGTGGCCAACTCACAACTTACTCGCAAGTAACCTTCGAAATGAGCAGCTCGTCTCAACAAATTGCCAGGCTCCAACCGTTCGTTTCGGCGTCTGCGCGAGAAGCTCAAGCGAGGGGGCGGGGCTGTTGCTGGGATTTAATTAAATTAATCTGCTTTTTGGCAGTTTAATCTCCTTTCTTCCCCACCACCAACGAATGATGCTCTCTCGGAGCACCTCATTCTCACACACACACGAGATGACATTGTCCGACGCATTGGATGGTCATCCTGATAGCCATGGCTCGGGTTCTATCCATAGTCCTCGCGCGGAATGTCTTACTTGATGATAAGGGGAGGAGGGAGTTGCGCCCTCATCGCTGCCTCATGGGTGTTGTTAACCCTTGGATCCCTCCCATTCCTTCCATTCTTCAACCAGTTCTCCGGGGCACCCCCTAGCGCGCCCTTGGAACTGTACCGTTAACCTGACAAGTGGCCCTCAAAAACGAAAGCGGACAGCACCGTTCGCGGATGGGTTCCTCTGTTCCTGGATTATTGTTTCGGCCTTTTTGACGACTTGGTGATCCAGTTTTTATCTTCGACCATGTCATACTATTCCTCTTCCGTCGTTTCGAGCTGGTGACTCCTGAACCGCAGAGTAATTTTACTTTAATTTCTAACTCTCTTTAATTTTTCTGGTTCGATAGCGATCTGTTACTTCACTTAACGTATCTCCTACACCTCCGTTCCAAAACCTCATCCTTTTCCTTTCTGCTGCGCTCTTGTTTTTCCCCCCAAGTTGCGGGCGCCTGTTTCAAAGAAAGACATATCCCATTGACCTCCTCCACCGCGGCCCTCTGCCGAGCACGAACTCCCCAATCACGCCCGCCTGTGGCTGCTCCGCGGGCCGTTGTGCTCGCCCGCCATTGCCCTTCCTGCCGGCATCCCTGTCGGTCCCGACTCCCCGCTCATGTCGTCGTTGTCGCGATCGCCCTCTCCCCACCCCGCGGGAGCAGGATGGTCTAGTCCTGGACTCACCTCGCCCAGTGGCTCGACGACGCCTCACAATGGCTTTCTGTCGCCAAATCCTATAGGTGCCAGCGGCATCTCCTGGGCCGCCGCCAAAGCGAAGAGCGACGAGGTACGAGGCTACCCGTCCTTTTCGACGAAGAACAGCGGGTTCTTCTCGCGTTCAAGACGCCAGCTCTCCGCCACTTTGCCGCGCTTTCGTTTAGGCTCAGGGTCTCCGAATGGCTATGTCGATAAGGATGAGTTTGGCCGGGGGCGGCCTCTCTCCCCAGCTACGGGCTGGCGCTTGGGATTTGGCAGGTCGGTTCTGCGGCGCAGACGATCGCGCTTGCTCGTGGCGCTGATCTTTCTTTTGCTGGGCTATATGTTTTTCGGAGCGTGTAAGTGAATCGCATACGTGTGGAACGAAGCCTGTAGGTGGCTAATCAATTGCAGCTCTTCTTCAGAAGTATCGGCGCTCTCCGCTAGGCGGTGGGCGCAAGTTCGTGATCATACTAGAATCTAACATCGAGGGCGGCGTGATGGAATGGAAGGGAGCGCGCGAATGGGCGATCGAGCGCAACAGCGTGTGGAATAAGAAGAATTATGTTGAGCGATGGGGCTACGAGTTGGAAACCGTCAACATGTTGGCGAAGAAGCGGTATTCGCATGAATGGCGCGAGAGCTGGGAGAAGGTGGACCTTATCCGGGAGACGATGCGAAAGCATCCCGATGCTGAATGGTATGTTTGCAGTATTCGTTTGGTGAGCGTCACTGACCTGTGCAGGTTTTGGTGGTTGGACCTCAGCACGTGGATCATGGAATACTCTTACTCATTACAGGACCATATATTCGACCGCTTGGATGAAATTATCTACCGGGACATCAATGTCTACAACCCGCTGAATATCAGCCATCTGCCGGACGACGCTTACCTGGACGAGGTGTCTCGATCGCCAAATGGAGACGGGGATCCGTCATCGGTACATATGCTATTGTCGCAGGACTGTGGGGGCTTCAACCTCGGCTCTTTCTTCATTCGGCGCTCCCTCTGGGCCGACCGCCTGCTGGACGCGTGGTGGGACCCAGTCATGTATGAACAGAAACATATGGAGTGGGAGCACAAGGAGCAGGATGCGATGGAATATCTGTATGCGACACAGCCGTGGGTTCGCAGCCATGTTGGCTTCCTCCCCCAGCGATATATCAACTCGTACCCCCAGGGGGCATGTGGAGACGAGAATGACCCGAATGTCCACTACCAGGAAGATGAAAGAGACTTCCTGGTCAACATGGCCGGATGCCAGTATGGACGTGACTGCTGGGCCGAGATGTACCAGTACCGTGAGATCAGCAAGCAGCTGAACCTGACATGGTGGGAGCGGATGAAGGACAAGTTGAATGGCCTTTACGAGAAGCTTTTCCCTGGCGAGGAGCAGCAAGTTGAATAGTCCGTTGCTGGGATACGACATTTGCTTTGATGTTTACTGCAGATGATGACTGGTCTGAGCAATGACCATGTAAAATGCGGACTAATAATGACCTGTGACGGCGTATGGAAGGATATTTATGTTTTCGGCTGATGCTGATTGCTGATTTGCTGTATTTGGCGAGGCGTTTGGTGTTAGCGATAGTTATCTAGACTTAGTAGCTCATCTATGACCTTTTACTGTTACTTTCACCGATTCATAATCACTACCAAATAAGTAAGTATACAACCGTAATTGCAGTGCCCAACCACACCACTCACAACCCGCTTACTAATGATCCACAAAAACACGTGACCAGCTCAGCACATCCGACCGCCCACACCCCCCAACCAATCAAACCACCGCAATTGGAACTCTCGCGACCTCCGGAATCGAACTTGATACAACTCGACCTCCGAATAACCGGACTACTTGTTCACCTACTACTCTCCCCTCCGTTCCGAAAAACCTACCCTCCAATCTTTCAAGCGCGAAAAAAAAAAAACAAATACAGAAGGAAGGAAAAGAGAAATAATCGAAAATGCCCACCCCGGAATCCGCCTCCTTCCTGGCCAAAAAGCCCACGGTGCCGCCTACCTACGAGGGCGTCGACTTCGAAGACAACGTTGCTGTCCACAACGCCCGCGACGCCATTATCCGTGAACAATGGGTCCGCAGTATGATGTCTCGTCTTGTCGGAGAGGAATTGGGCAAATGTTATGCTCGTGAGGGTGTGAATCATTTGGAGAAGTGTGGGGTTTTGAGGGGTGAGTTTTATATACCTTTTTCCTTCTTTCCTTTCTGAAAAGGATGGAGTGTGGTGATGATAGGGATGAATATATGCTGATGTGGGTTTGTTTCTGGGGATTTAGAAAAGTACTTTGAGTTGCTGGGCGAGCGCAAGATTAAGGGTTACTTGTTCCAGGAGAAGAATTACTTTGCTGGGGAGGGAAATAAGTCTGCTTAGATTTGAGGGTTGAGGGTTGAGGATGGGTTGAATTGGTTTGGTTTCTGTGTTATGTTATGTGATATACAATATATGCATTGTGTTTTTATTTTCATACTCTTTTCTCTGGGTTTGGGTTGTGGGGAGTTGTGATTGTATGATATGTTTTGAGATGGGGTGGGTATAACTCTTATCTCTTGGTTTATGAGGTTGTTTGGTGCGAGTAGGTTGCTATGTCTGGATTGGTGCTATGTATGCAGAGTAGGACCTATGTGTGCATAGGCAAACCATATGGTATGGGTATTTGTATACAAACTCAAAATCAATAATAGGCACTGTCACTCCGCTCCGGTACTGTTCCCGGCGTATACACACGCGCTACACTGGCCGCCTCCTCATCACTATCCTCGACATCACTCCCCGGTCCAAAGTCGTCCTCCGCCGGCGGCGCACGCATGCGCACCAACTGCTCCTCATCCAGCGAGGGGATCTTGTACGGCGCTGGCGCGGAATGAATATCTCGACCGGAGGGCAAGTTTGCTAGCAGGTCCGTAGAGGGTGGGATCAGCTGGGTATTAATCTGTGCTCAGCAGTTAGCAACATCATTCCAAACCGATGACGTGGATATCACCAACCGTATCATTCATTCGCACCCACTTCGTCTCCAGCATCTCAATCACTCGACTCTCCTCCTCCCGACCTGCGTTATCCCCCGGTCCTAGCTCGCCCTTCTCCGTCCGATCCCGACTGCCCGCATCCTTCTCCATCCGTCTCTCCTCCCGCCGCTCCATCCAACCCTGCTTCAGCCTCGACAGACCGGTCCGGCTCTTCGTACTCGTCTCCTTCGCTTCCGCTCCACCTGTCCCAGCTCCCCTAACCCCCAATGCCCCCTTCGCTGCTCTCAACCATGCAATGCCCTCCCCGATCTTCCCGGACAACTCCGCGTCCACCCCGAAGAAGCGGCAGGCTCTCGCCCGCGCAACCCGTCCCAGCACCCGTGTATACCCTAGCAGATCATCATCAATCCCCATCCGCCCCTCTGACCGGACAGATCCCAGCCCCGCAGCAGCTTGCTCCGCGTACTCCGCAGCCCGGATACATAATCTTGCGAAGAGGTGCGCGCGGACCTTGGGGATCTCCGGCGCGCGGACCATCCAGTCCTTGTCATTGGGGTTGCGCGCCTGAATACAGGCCGCGACGTAGGAATCGTCCTTCAATACAGCGAGGAGGGTTGCTTCCGCGAGGGCGAGACAGGAGAGGGCCGCTTGCGTGGCGGGATCGAGGTCCGGGAGGGTAGAGGTTCCATTTTTGTTGTTATTGCAGATGGAATGGGCTGCGGTTGCGAAGGAGGGCGAAGAAGCGAGGAGCGAGTGTACGGCGCTGGCTTGGAGGAGGTGTTTGGTGGCTGTTTGGATGGCGGCGGTGCGCTGTTCCGGTGTCGGAGTCGTGGATGCGTAGAGGGTGCGGGTGACGCCGGTACGGGCGAGGGAGTTGAGCACGTAGCTGAGGGTGCAGAGGACAAAGGCTATCTCGAAGTCGAGACCCTGTCCCTGGATGCGGGTGGTGGTGGGCCGCTGTTTGAGGGAGAGCGTGGTGGTGGGGTTGGTGAGGGTCGGGCGCCAGGCGGATGTGATCTCGGTGCGGAGTGTAATTTCAATTTCTTCGGTGGGAGATGTGTCGCCGGATTTGCTGCTGAGGCCGTTGGAGAGAGCGAGGAGGTAAGGGAGGTAGCTGGTTATGGTGGTGAGGACAGTCTGCAGGTGGGCGTCTTGTTGCGGACCGCGGGGTAAACGCTTGTGTGCTTTGAGAGCTTGTCGGAGAGCATGGCGGGCGGTGGTGGCTGCTTGGGGGAGAGAAGGGTGGGTGCTGGAGGTAAGGAAGGTCTGAAAGGAAAGATGGGAGGTGGAGGGCAGTGTGAAGGCGTAGACCATGGTGATGGTGGTGGTGATTGGGGTGTTGAAGCTGGAGTGGAGTAGGAAGAGGAGAGCTGGAGTTGAGTTGGAGGAGGTGAAGATCTCCGCGGCAGCCAAGAAGCTCGTTTGCATTGGAACCTACGGGAAAAGCACGTCGGGGTCAATTCGGGCCTATTGACCGAGCTCATTAACTCATGTGGCTTATACGCTGTTATGCTGTAGATACATGATTTCGCTTGCAGGATGGCTTTCCATCCCTCATTCGTCCCGATTGCCTTCTTCGCACATGTTTCAAGGCGTAGATGCTGTTTTCTGCCTCGGTGGATAATGATATATCCAGCCTGCTCTGGCCCTAAATTGTGACAACCCGTCTGTAGTAATAGCAAGTGATATGCTGATACTCCCAAGCTGGTGGACGATCTGCTGGTCATTGTGATCAAGCTGGGCCGGCCAGCTGTCCCAATGCCAGATACGGTGTAGGCGTTGTGTTGCAGCTAGGCGTCTTGAGTCTGGCTTGTCGGGCTGCAGACGACCGACAGCCTTGTTGCAGTGTATTGTGAAGTGGTCTGTTTTCGAACGACCTGTCTGCTGTCTCATCACACATCCATTCCTTCCCCATCGGACAAGTTGCTCGGCGCACTACTGACACCAGACGAATCGCTGTCAGCCATGTACGGCGCCCGCGACCGCATCTGTGAACCCCAGTCTTGGAGACTGGGCGCACCACCCTCGATGATAATAGGATGCTCGTCGGCGCTCTTTCCGAGCACGGTACCCGCATATCTCGATTCTTCGCCGGTTTTGCTGTGCTTCTTCTTCAATGCTGTCAAAAAGTCTTCTTTCTCGAGAGCGTCCGCATCAACCATGTCGCCTTCACTGGGCACAAATCCAGCAATTCGTCGAATCTCCCGGTTGGCCGGACCAGTGAACCACGACAGAAAGCCTTCTAAACCTCGCATATCTTCTTCTCCCTGCCAGTCTTCCTCCCATTCTCGCAGCTGGGGTCGTAGCGCGCCTGCGTCTTGCAGCGCTTGGTAGATATCTTCGAGGACTGGAACAGGGTCATGCGGATGAGCGTTTGCAGCATGGGCAGTCGTAGATGAAGCAAGGATCATGATGTACTGGGCGGTAAGGTCAGCGAGGGTGTCTAAAACGGACGGTCGCGTCGCATGGAAGCCTGCTGCGCGCAGGATCTGGATTATTGGCGGGCGGAGAAGAGCGTTGTGTAGATTGGAGCCAGACATGTTGGCGTAGGGGTTGTAGATGAAGAGCAACGATAGAGACGTCGAGAAGAGCTATTCAGCTCGCACACGAGGACTATATAGCTAAGAATATGAGCGGCTCAATGTGTCGCTATTGTTGAGGTCGAGTGTTAGGAGATGAATAGGAAGCAAAGAGAGGATCAATGGCTGAATGGATGGGCCTCTTACTGCCTTTTCGGGGTCTTCCGCCTTCTGGCTCCGCCCTCGAGTCTTCGTCTCCGCTGTAACACCAGCAAGCTTCACCTCACCCCATCCATCTGCCAGCCTCCTACCATCTCTACTCTGACCTGACTTCGCTCACTTACAACACATCACATCTCCACCGACTTGGTGGTCACCTCTCGCCATGTCGGACACACCCCGTCCATCCCTCAAGCTCACCTTCGGGAAAAAGAAGGCACCCGAGGAACCACCCCAGAGACAACCTGCTGCACCTCCTCCGCCAACAGAGACCCCTCAACGCAAACTCACGCTCAAGATCGCCCGTAGACCGGCACCAGAAGCGCCGCCCGAGGATGACAAACTCAAGAAAAAGAAGAAGACCTCGAAGAAGCGCCCAGCAGAGGGACCCGCGTTGCAGGAACCATCCACCACGGTTGCGACAGCCCAACCCTCTGGACCCAAACGCCTGAAATTAAACCCATCGAAGAAGCCCGGGATCCAGTCACTCCGTATCAAGAACAAGGGGCTGGTCCCCAACCGACCGGTGGGCGTTGGCTACGACTCAGAGGCATCCGACACGGAAATCGACCCCTCGATCGAGGAACAATTCATTCTGCGCATGCTGCCCGGAGAGGATTGCGAATACCTACAACGCGCCATTGCTGAACGCCGGTTCGACCGTTCGGAGATTTCTTTTAAGCCACTCACCCGTGAGGGACGACGCGCCATCTTCAAGATCCGCGATCATCAATACGCCGCAGCGCTGGTCGACTTGCCATGTATCATCGAGGGTATGAAGAGTTGGGACCGGCGTGGGTGGTACAAATCTGCGGATATCTGCCAGATGCTTCTGATCCTTGGCCCGGTTGCCAATGAACAAGAGGCCATGGACTACCCACTCCCCTCGGACATTCTACACCCAGATGACAAGACACTGCAATACCCACATGGTCTCACACCACCGTTGCGATGGGTGAGAAAGCGCCGCTTCCGGGAACGAATCAGCACGCGGACTATCGAGCAGGTCGAGAAGGCCGTCGAGGATCTGATCGCCCAGGATGAGGCTGCCGTGGCACCTATCCGCTACGAGCTGGTTGATAAGACAGCATTGAACCGGGCTGAGGGACTGGTCCAGAGTGGAGATTACGACTACGAAGACGAATACGATGATGAGCAGGATGCCGAGGGTGAGATGGAGGAAGGCATGGAAGACGGTGGTCTGTTCGATGATTTCGAAGACACTCTCGCTGCCGAGATGGAGGCTGCCTTGGCTGCCGGCGACGAAGGCGAGGCAGGTGCTGCGGCTGCGGCACCTGGAGCCGAGCCACCATCAGATGCTGGGGTATACCAAGCGGGCACACCGATGGCCACGAAGCCGTCAACACCAGCGCCAGAATCATCCGGTGACGAGAGTGACGGGTCCGACGATGGCGACGAACCGGAAGACGAGCTGGATGATGAGCAGCTCGAGCAGCAGCGGCAGATGCAGCAGCAACGCGAGGAAATTGCCGAACTGGAGGCACTGATCCGCGCCGAGACGGCGAAGTGGGAGAAGATGCAGAACGCCATTCTGAAGGGCAAACTGGCCAAGCGCATCCACGATCTGAAACAAGATCTATCACTGAAGAAGGTGTCTATCGGCGAGGGCGATGATGCTGATGGTTAATCAAACACCTTACCTATATGTCTGTACGCTCATAGCTATTGATCGATTTCTGATACCCCATTACATACCATCCATTCCATTAACCTATCCTATCCTATTGTATCGTATCGTATTCCCTCCCTATAACCTACCACAAACCACACTAAATAATAATAACACAATCAAACAACCCTCCCCTTAGACCCCCTACTCGCCGCCCCCACCACATCCACCTCCTCATCCTGCCTCAACTTCCTCCTCCTCACCTCCTCCCCCTCCCCCTCCGGCTCCGCCGGACTCTGTCCCACCCGATCCCCCAACATCCTGTCATGCATCTCCCTCTTCTGATCCAAATCCGCCATCTCGCCCTTCTCGTACCCCGGCGCCCCTGGCCCCTCGGCACTGCCTACCGCGCCCGCATGCGCCCCCGCTTGTGCTCTGGCCCGCGCATCCGCCGACTTGCCCTGCACGGCCCGCGCGATGTCCCCTTCTGCGGGCTGCTGCTCGACTCCGTACTCGGTGTCGAGGGTGGAGGCGGCGTTGCGCATGGATTCTTGGTGTTTGCTGGAGTTAGAGTTGGAGTTGGAATTGGAGGGCTGGGAGGCGGCGTTGCGGGTTATGGGGGACAGGGCGTCGCCGCGGTGCCGGGGGAGGTGGTCATATTGCGATTGGGACGAAGATTGGGGGGTGCGTTGCTCGGAGGGCGTGTGGGTTACGGGGTTGGTGGGTTGGTTGTAGGCGGCTTGTTTGGGGGGTTGGGGGGGTTGTTGCTGGTGGGATGATTGCATTGTTGGTTGGCTTGGGGAGGGTTATAGATTGGTATTGCAGTGATATATTGGAGATATATGGATGTTGTTGTTTGAGTGTAGAGGGCTAGGATGGAGGAGTTGGGATGTGGTGATGGTTACTATAAGAATAAGGGAGCTGTGAGGGGATGACGTCAGTGATGATGTGATGTCAATTTTGGAGATGTGAAGAATAGTTCCTTCCTGAGTAGATTGGGTAAATTGGTTGTAGAGATTGTCTGGAATGCTCTATTCTGTGGAGTTAGTGGTACTGTTCTGCCCTGGAGGGGATTCGAGATCATGTTCGTTTTGCTAGGGGATCTGCTAGTAGTCTGTTGCTTGGCCGTTAGCTGTCATATTCCCATCTGGCTGGTTTGGAGGGTACATTATAGAACTGCAGGATCAATCAATAAAGCTGTTGCTATATCATGGAAGCGGTAAGTAGGATAAATAATGTCAAATCTGGTATACAGCGAAAAGGATGCTTCACAGTAGCTGGTCGATGGATAGGTGATGAGGGTATGCGATGCAGTTGTGATGGATGGAGCTTACGCCGTTAGAATTTAACTACTGTGACTAACGACTACTTGCATGGGATCATCATCACGGTCAGATGAGAGCTACCCCTCAAAGAAAAAAAAAAAAAGCAAATATATACACATACTCCCCTCAGCACAAGTATACAATCTTGACAAGAACATAATCCACATGCAATAAATCCAATCGGGAACACACTTCAAGCGCATGTGATACCGCGGGAGTCACTCACTCCTTATTCTTTAATTTCCCCGGATTTAAGCAAACAATACAATTTAACGATTACTGATCACATCCAACCCTCAAAAGTATATACAAGACCACCATTCCATCTTCTCTACCATCCCCGCTTCATGTCACACACGTACACAGTCACAAACGAGTAACAAGCAACAGCCCTTGCTCACTGTACCACCACCACCACCATGTCCATCACATCTCCGCTCTTCACCCTCCCCATCCCTTCCACCTCCGGCTCCATCACCTGCACCAACCCATCCCCCGACCAACCAACAATCTACCTCCTGACCTTCACCTCACCCCCTGACAACCGTCTCACCCCGACCTTCATCGACACCTTTCTCCTGGCCCTCGACATCATCGAACACCGCTACCAAAAGGGTGTGTTAATCACCACCAGCGGGATTCCCAAATTCTACAGCAATGGACTAGATCTCGAACTTGCGCAATCCACAGAGGGATTCCTGGATAAATGGCTGTGGAAGTTGTTCCGTCGACTATTAACGTATGGCTTACCCTCCCTTAATCTTACCACTAACAAACAAACATGAACCGTACTAATATATATCTATATGTGGTATACAGCTACCCCATGCCCACCATCTCCCTCCTAAACGGCCACGCCTTCGCCGGCGGCTTCATGCTCGCCATGTACCACGACTACCGGATCCAGAACCCGAGTAAGGGCTTTCTGTGCATCAACGAGCTCGAATTCGGGGTTCCGTTGCAAGCGCCCATGATGCATGTCTTCCGGGAGAAGTTGACGCCGAATGTGTATCGGGATGTTGTGCTCGAGGCGAAGAGGTTCCCTGGGCCGGAGGCGCTGCGGGTGGGGATTGTGGATGGTCTGGGAGGTGTGGAGGAGACGGTGAAGTTCGTGAAGGAGAGGAAGTTGGTGTTGATGCCCAAGACGGAGATTTATGGGGTTATGAAGGAGGAGATGTATCGGAGGTTGCTGGGGGTGGTGGATGATCATTCGGGGAATTTGGAGTGGAGGAAGAGGGTGGAGGAAAGGAAGGGCGAGATGGAGGATGTGGGGAGGAAGAGTGTGGAGGTTTGGGAGGGGAGGAAGGGGCGAAGTTATGATGTATTAATTGCATGTGGCGTACTAGATATATAGATGATTTATACTAAGGCTCTATATAGAGAACATGAGATGATGGGAATGGTGGTAGCAACTTACCATACAGACTGGAGTTACTACTTGTCATGGTCACAGGTTGACATACATTGAATCTACAAGGCTGATCACAGCCTTCTCCATACGGCTATCTCGATGAGAAATAGATGTGAGACATGCTCCCTAGTAAGGCAACAGCTAAGAAAATACTATAGGGCAATCCACTAATATTGCCACGAACTTCTGATACTCGTGAAAGAGAGAGAGAGAATGGCAAAGTGCCTTTCAAATCCTTTTCCTTCATAGCTGTCTCACATCAATCACTTCAACTTCCTATACTATCTCCACCAACCTATATTTAAAAAAAGAGAATACCTAATACAAATAGTGATCCTCTAGTAGTATTCTTATAACATTCTCTGATATTCAATCTACCCCAAGACAACCTAGTCCACTGCATACCCCATATTCAATTCCCTAACCTCATTCTCAGTAACACATCACAAAACAGGGAGCCCAAGGTGAAATAACTGTATGCATACTACTCCGCCACACTCACTTCACGCACTTTTGTTTCAGAAACACAGCATGATGGGTTCGCTCGCTCGCTCGCTTGCTTGACTTCTTTAGTGTGAAACTTCAATTCACCGCGCTGGGATGGGGCCTTGCCCTCGCAAAGTGAGATTTATACAAGATTCTTAATGGCCGGTTTAGCATGCGATCACGGCTTACTGCTACTACATCGTTTAGTGATGTTCGTGGTTGGTTTCGCTGTTGACTTCATAGCATTTTACATTTGCTAGGTATTATTTACTTGTCTTTATCTTCGATTTTTCATCACAAAGTTTGCTAAATCTTTATATCAGATACAGCTTGATTTTCAACATGGAGAACAGAAAACGCAAGGCGGATGATGAGCTGGATCCCAGCACTGTTGATGTTGGCAGTGTGCCTGAGGTCGATCCTAGCACTTCTGACAGTGTACCTAAAGTTGAACCCACTACTGCTGACAGCGTCCCTAGGGGCGGACCCATCACGGCTGATAGCATTTCCAAAGTTGATCCCGCCATGGCCGCTTACATTGAGAAGAGACGCAAACAGAAGGATGAGTGGCTGGAACGGCAGGGAAAGGCACTGTGGAAGAACTACTGGACCGTGAGGGAACAACAGCTCTCTAAGCCATTCGGGCCACGGCCGAGCTATCCAGAGGTGATCGAGGTTTGGCAACGTGATGAGGTAAGATAGGACCTGGATGTGAAATCGGTTGTGAAGGGCGAATCATTGACGGGCAGTAGGTGGACCAAGAAGCTGCATCCTCGGAGTTCCCTCCAAATGGAATCACTGATAAGAACCCTCCTCTTTCTTACGACGTCATCGCAAGTATCCTCTGGAAAACCAAGGGCCATTGTCCCAAGGCGCAGGCGTGGTTGAAGAGCCATGAGATGAGCAGATTCTTGCGTGCTGATGTGATCGTGAGGCACTATGGACGTGAGAATCTGAGAAAGAAGGCGCTCCATAACATGTACCAGAGGAATCTTGGTCTGCAGAAGGCGGCCAAGGAGTCCGCGCAAGTGATGGATAATGGGAAGGATAACCAGGAAAATGAGGCTACCCCTTGGGAAAGAATTTTGACAGCTCATGACAGACTTCGAAAGGCGATGGGCGAACCTGAGGTGTTTGCGCATGAGATTCTGCTGTGGTAGCTATTCCCTGTCACACCATCAGTTTTGCCGGCACATGTCAGTAGGCGGCTGACGTACCCTCTGATTCTGTCTCTTTGAATTACATGGTAAGATGAATGTCCACTCATGTACCAAAGCTTGACGTTTCACTGGACGGTTTTTGTAACTAGTTTTTCCAATAATCACTGATTATCAAGTCTTCTTGTTTCTGTTGGTGCCTTTGGCCTTTCCCGGACTCTCTAGCTTGTCTAATAGAGGTCGATATGGCGAAGCTAATACATGCTCCGGCGCTCTTTGAGCACTATCGTCGCGTCTTGGCTCGCCAGAAGATGGCCGCCTCCGCTGCTCCTCGTGCATCTTATCCAACGGTTCGCCCACGATCTGGTATTTGTTCCAGTTGATAGGAGGCATGCGGACAACATTTTGCGGCGTGGGCAGGGTCCCTAGCCCAGCATAAACGCCTCTCTTCGGACTCTCTACATCCTCGTCCTCCGAGTCTTTGTCATGAGTGAAGTTGATGAAAGCCCCTGTATCCTTCGCCGACAGATTTCCCGCTGCCAGTTCGCGGGCGAACCCTTCTGGATCCTCTGATGCGGCCTTCTTGAACTTTTCTAGAGTCTGAATATCCCGCATGCTTTGCTGCTTCTGGAGCTGAAGAATAGAGATCGCTGATCGCAGAGCAATGGCATCTGGGTTCTCGCTCTCCGAAATCGGGACGGCGGCCGGCTCGGGCGCGAACACGGGGGCTGCAGCCGGCGGGGTAAAATCCGCTGATGAACCATAAGGGGGCACTCTCGTTGTTGGCGATGGCGACGCAGCAGGAGGAACAATAGGGTGAGGAGCGCCGTTCCCCGCGGCGGCATTCGTGACAGGCACAAGATGGGCAAAGACGGGAGTCACGGGTGAGTAAGGCGGGCGCGGCGGAGTACCTGGCCGATCAGGCTGGTTGCTTTGGTTCTCCTGCGAAGGCTGCATTGCGCGAAGTTGAAGAGAGCAGGAACCGGAGGGGTTGTTGAGGAATGATACGTGGTAGGAACAAGAGGATAACCTGATCCAACGGATTGCTGGCTGGATCGATGCGATGATCGACGGGAATGACGTCTGTGCCTGCAACTGAGAGGTTTAAGGGATGGCAATAGCGGTGACAGTCAGGGAGCTAGTCTGATGGAAGTGACAAGTCAAAAATACTGCTCGTATGAGACAGTCAATGACAGCTCATGTTGGATGAGGCGATGCTTGAGTCAGAAGAGCGATGGAAGGTGCTGGATGCGCTTATCGAAGGCGATTATCGGGGCTCCAGTGCGGAGTCAATCAACCCCAGTCACTCTGCCTGATGGTGGCTGGGAAAGGCATGCTGATGGCTGTTGGTTGGAAGGTGCATCTCCACAATGCACTCATTGGTATTGACTATTCTTGTATAGCTCTCAATGAATAACCAGTGAATCTCTATTCAGCAGCAGACAATAAGGAAGTAAATAAATAAACAGTTAAATGAATCCATTCTAGTGAATGTGTCTATTTTAGGAAACCATATGGCCTGATCTGGTGGCCTGATTGATGCCTGCAGATTTTTCACCGCCAAAGTTATTCGAAAAATTAAAGGCAAAATCCGCATTCCGTTAAGATTGAACCCTCTCCAGAGTCTATTCAATTTCGCATTCCTTTCCCTTTTTCTCACAATGAAGCGCAAGACTGATGGAAGAGAATCCCTCGGCGGCAAAGACCAGCCCGAGTCCAAGAAGCGCGCTTTGTCGAGCGAAGAAGCCGCTGCGCGCTTCCGTGACGGCTTGTTCGAGCCGTCGGTCCTGAAGGACTATACCGAGCAATATGCCCAGTCTGCTCCGTATGCTGCCCATCATATATTCTGGCTGGCAATTACCCTGAGCGCAAGCTAATCCCAAGTTCAAAGGTACAAGCATGGTGTCATTCACCCCCTCATCGAGCCCTCCCTCTTGCGCGCCGTCCGCGACGAAATCCAGGCCCAGGTGCAGTTCACCGAGAAGGAAACCGACATCTACAAGATCTTCCAATCCGGCGACCTGGCCAACCTGGACGGTCTCGACGATGCCTCTCTTGCGAAATTGCCCTCCATCCTCAAGCTGCGCGACGCCATGTACTCTGCCCGCTTCCGTGAGTTCCTCTCGAAGGTCACCGGCTCTGGAAAGCTGAGCGGACAAAAAACCGACATGGCCATCAACGTCTACAACGAGGGCTGCCACTTGCTCTGCCACGACGATGTCATCGGAAGCCGACGTCTGTCCTACATTCTCTACCTCACCGATCCCGACCAACCCTGGCAGGCCGAATGGGGTGGCGCACTGCGTCTGTACCCCACGACGACCAAGAAGGATGCCAACGGCGACGACGTCCTGATTCCCAGCCCGGACTACTCTCTCAGCATCCCTCCCGCGTTCAACCAGCTCAGCTTCTTCACCGTCCAGCCCGGAGAGAGTTTCCACGACGTCGAAGAAGTCTACCACCCGAAAGACAACGAAGACAAGTCCAAGAAGCGCGTGCGCATGGCCATCAGCGGCTGGTTTCACATCCCGCAGGAAGGCGAAGACGGCTACGAAGCCGGTCTGGAAGAGAAGCTCGCTGAGCGCAGTAGTCTGGCCCAGCTCCAGGGCCGCGGCGACATCTACGACCTCCCCCAGCCCAAGACCGTCGACTGCGAGAACGAGGACGAGCAACAACCCGAGGAAGGAGGTAAAGGCAAGGGCAAGGCCAAGGTGGAAGAGGAGCCCACGCCCGAATTCACAGAATCCGACCTCGCCTTCCTGATCCAATACATCGCCCCATCCTACCTCACCCCCGACATCGCCGAGGAAATGTCCGAGACCTTCTCTAACGAGTCGTGTCTCAGTCTGGAACGATTCCTTTCGGAGAAGTTTGCGACCCGTGTTCGGACCTACATTGAAGAGCAGGAGAAGAAGGGCCTGCCCAGTTCCTCCGATGAGATTCTCGCCCAGACCGGATGGACGGTCGCCCGTCCTCCCCACAAGCAGCGCTACCTGTTCCAGCAACATGGCACCGCGACCCAGGACCAGAAATCTCCGATCCAGGAACTCCTCGACGACCTTTTCCCTTCCCGGGCATTCCGCAAGTGGCTCGCTCTGATCACCGGCGCGGACCGTATTACCAGCTACGACTACCTGGCGCGTCGCTTCCGTAGAGGTCAGGATTACACCCTGGCCAGTGGCTATGATGGAGAACAGCCCCGTTTGGAGCTGTCGCTTTGCTTGACGCCCACTCCGGGCTGGGAGAAGGAGGACGACGACGAGGAGGAGGATCAGGATCAGGATCAGGAGATGGGCGAGGGCTCATCGGAGGAACAGCAGAAGAAGGCGGTCAAGCCGAAGAAGAAGACAAAGGATGAAGGAGCCGTCGCCAATGGCGACGCCGAGGAGCCTTCGGTGGGTGGATACGAGATCTACATGGCCGGCGACGACGAGGATGAGGGCGATGCAGCGATCTACCGGTCCGCAGGCGCCGACGATGACGATGACGGCATTCTCTTCAGCACTGCCGCCGGATGGAACCGACTCAGCATTGTGTTGCGGGACAGCGGCACCCTGAAGTTCGTCAAGTATGTCAGTGAGGCTGCCAAGGGCGACCGTTGGGATATCACGGGTAACCTAGGGGTGGAGTTTGAGGATAACGATGACGAAGATGAAGACGACGAAGATGTGGATGATGATGACGTTGAAGAAGAAGAGGATGAGTGAATGGCAATCAAAAAAACTGAAACAGGAAATAAAGTCGTATATTTTCCCCAATTGTACATACTACGCAACATGATGAACCCCAAACAAATATTTACACACACAATGACAAAAATAGATACAATCATCTCCTAACGTAGGATCTACTACTCCTTTCTGCCTACAGTAAACGTCCCCGAAACACACAGCCACCCATCGCATCCCACACACACACACACCGAATCCAATCAATCAATCAACAATGAAAATCCCAAGTAGTAGATAGGCAGCAACGAAATATACCCAAAACACATCAGGATCAATCCCTAAACCTTAAAAGTACATACTCTGTATGATATACGATCCTCGTAAGTAAGTAGGAAAAAGGAAGGAAGGAAAAGGAAAAGGAAAAGGAAAAGGAAACTTAGTTGTTTTCGCACCGCCACCCCAGCAATCGATCCTTCGAAAACAACTACGAACGCCCGACACCCCACTCACTCACTCTCTCACTCAGGAATACTTACGAAAGGAAACGATTCGATGACTTTCTACGAGAGTACAACTAACTATGCAGCCTGGGATATGGCCTTGCATCTCTATCTCCCTGGTGGAGTAGTGCACACACACACACACACACACACACACACACACACACAATATTTATTTGGTTTGTGGACTGGTCATATACTATGATAGTATTTGGTAAGTAAGTAGGTGGGGGTATCTAAAGTAGTTGGTTGGTAGTTGAGGGACGATCCGATCCTGCGGTGATTTGCGCAGGGTATATAGTTTGTATATATATATATATATATATTTAGTATACAGTAGTATAGTAGTAGACTGCCAGATTATTGATATATTGTTGGATAGGTAGTAGTGTCGGTGGATGATATTTTTGGAAACTAAAAGGGGGGAGGGAGGGAGGAGGGGAAGTTGATGCAGGGGATGGATGGATGGATAACTAGTTCATGTCTGGCAGTATTGTATACTAATGTCAAGGTTGTAACTATCTAACATACTACATACTAGATGGATCGATGCTTTGTGTGTGTGTATAATTCGTATGTTTCTTTCTTTTTCTTTGATATGTTTGTAGTATGTGTATATTGTTATGGTGGATATAGTACTGGACAGTAATTGAGTAGGGGAGGGCATCTTTGGTGTGTTTTTATCCTCATAGTGATTGTAAGAAAGAGTAAGTAAGTCTATAATTCTTACTGTATTGCGATGCTGAGAAGGAGTTTTTCTTGATAGTGTGGGACTGTGAGTTATTCCATTACAATTGTAGCTACTACTTCTACGATCTACAATTTACTATATCATTGATG